TTCACATAAGTAAATCTATGTATGTCTTCTGAATGCCTTGGGTGGCATTCGTAATATACATGATAGTCAATTTTCAAACAACAGTTTTTGAGGTACCAAAAAATATTGTTATTCTATTTTTGAATTCGGATTGTACAGATTAAATTATTTTACAAACGTGAACATGTAATCAGGGGGGACTACCTAAATACCGTTCTCTGATCATATAATACAAGAAAACAATTTTATAGTTCCAGAATTCGAGTTGAATAAAGAAAATTGATTTAAATTTGTTGTACGTGAGATAAATTTTTGAGTTAACGTTTTGAATGTGTTCCTGTTTCATCATCCTTGGACCTAAGTATAGAATTTATTTTTCACTTTCAACTGCTTTGTACATGCGATATTAATTCTCTTTCGTGCTTCAATTTTTTATAATGCTCATTCTTTCAAAGAAATCTTTCAGTTACAAAATTCAATTATTAAAGAAGCAAGATACTGTGTTAATGAAAATGTATACAGAATAGCAAAACTATAGTGTCAAGTATTGGTACAAATGAAGCACATTTTCCCTAACGGTTTAGAACATTTCCAATACGATTGTATGTTTTTCATTATTTTGACCGTTACCCTGAGGTGTGTAGCCATTCTAGATTTATAATTTTTTTAAATATGAATAAAATAAGGAATTAGGCTTAATCGGTTTAGAGTTGTAAGTGGTCAGGTTAAATATTACTTTTTACAATACAGACACACAATATTACAATATTGTGAATCGAAACCATCTTTATATCATAGATCCATTACAAATGTCGTAGAGTTGGTGCGTTGCGCGTAGGTTTCCTATAGGGCACGCATGACCAACGATACATCACAGTTCCCTATGCACGGGCCATTTTCAAAATTTATTTATATTTTTTTACTTATGTTCAGGATGGATTAACAAACTTCATTTAAGATTAACTGTATATTTCTAGTTACAGGCTTGCACTATACCTTTTTCTTATTTACACCTAACATTAAACTACATTTGGCCAGAGGTCTCACAGATCATATCAATTAGTTTATTATAGGTTGCTGAATGTGTTCAAGAATGCATGTAAATGATATCTGTTTTTAGTCGAGTTTAACGTTCGGTGTATTTACAGAGTTCGAGAGTTCTGCTTTGGTTGATCAAGTGAAGGTTTGAAGAAAAGTTATTGCCGAGATAAGCAATATGGTAAGGGATTGGTTTGATGTTTAATTCGGTGTGTAGTTCCTTGTTAGAGATGAAGCAAGGGGCTTGGGTTATGTATCTTTGTAAATTAGTTTTGGATGACTTGTAATTTGTAAATATTATGTTGGGTCACATTTGTCCATTCTGGGCATGCGTACAGGAGGAGGGGGTCTGATGATGAATTTGTTTATTATAATGGTATTGTTTAATGTGAGCTTAGTGTTTATATTTATGATCGGTTTCAATAGTAGGGACCGGGTGTCTCCGAGCATCCACTGATATCACTACAGTGCTTCTACCCTCTGTCCTCTGCAGGTCCTAGGTTCGAGACCCTACGGTGGCAGGAATTTCGTCACTAGCTAGATAGCGAAGTCGAATTCAGTCGCTGTCTAGAGGAGAATTCTAGCGGCTGGCTTATCTGATAATTTTCCGTGATTGCTCCGATCAACGTCAGGTGAATGCCGGAGCAGCACCCTAACAAAGGGGCCACGGAGCACGCGCGATCTTTCCTTCCTCTTCCTAGTCGTCGTGTTTCCTTACTTACACACACACACACACACTAGCATGCACTACACTACCACACATGCTGGGAGACCGGCCGAGAGCTCAGAGCTTGTCCCGCCTGGTAGAAGATACCTAGTTGGGGAAACCCTGTTAGCCGACTGCAGGTCGGCGTTGGATCTCACCATCCAGCGGGGGAAATCACCGCCACCTCACGAGTAAAACACACGCATTACACTTACAGGACTAATGACAAACGGCAATCACCAATCAGTCAATAAATCAAATGTAGGATTTTGATTTTGGCGTGCTGGACTGTGTCTATGTGTGTTTTCCGGTCGGGGGTTGCTCGGGGTGCGCTTGCAACAACCCTCGAGGCGAACCGGTTGGTCACGCGCATCCACCCCATTCCACAACCCCCCTCCCCCCGCTATATTTCGCACGAGTGGCGCCTCCCCCCCCCCTTTTGGGCGAAGCCGCTCGTCGGCGAAACCCACTCTGATTTTAATTCAGTAGCTCCGTCAAAAGATCCATCCGCAATCCCCACATGGTGTGAATCATGCGATTTTCCCATTTGACATTGCTTTAAAATTGTATTCACATTTTCTTTTCAGCGGCGAATGATCAAGTCCTATACGTTTATTTTATTCAATGTTCATAACGGATGCCAGGGGTTGGAGGATTTTATAAATGTTATTGTGAAGTTTATGAAGCGGTTATTTAGCCTTTTTAAGTATATTATAAAGTAACTTTGACAAATAAATTTTTGTGTGTAAAGCTAAATTTGTTTATAACTTATTCATTGTTATAAACTCTTGACTCATTTCTACCATTGCCACAAGCAAAGCACAAATAAAATAAAATACATTTCAATTAAGTAGTTGTTATAATTTTCAGTTTAAGGGGTGCTTATTTGCTCTTTACATAAAAAGGCCAATGAAAGTCAGAATTCCTCGTTTGCTTATTTGCTGTTCCTTTTTCTACACATTCTAAAATGAACTACAACACTCTTAACGTACATCTAACTCTTGCGGAACCACATACTCTTTACATTTTTGAAGGAGATATATTGTTTTCTGTCAATAACAAAATTGCTAGCATTGTTAATGTGTGCTAATTGGGAAATGTAAGTAATTTAATGCCGTAAAAATTGATAAATGTAAGTACAATTTCTTTATTTTATGAAATGCCAATTTAAATAAAAATCTACCCACGAAGTATTTTGAATATTCTAAGTCAAGTCTACTCTGCAGGAGTGTAATAAATGCTTTTGTTTAATAAACAGAAAATTAGCCATTACTTCTTGAGGGAAAAAAATTCTTTCTAATTAGCCTGTATTTGGGTCTTTAATTTAAAGACAGAACATTATACGAGTATAACTGCTTTATATCAATGTTCCATATGATATAATTATGTATCACATGTAACATTGATATAAAGCAGTTATGCAAAGCTCCATTATATCAATGTTACATATGATATAATTATGTATCACATGTAACGTTGATACATGTTACATGTGACACGTAATTACGAGCAGTTACACTTGCATAATTTTCTGACTTTAAAGTAATGGCCAAATACTCTAATTTGGAAATAACCACAGAGAGTGAACGTAAATAATAATCTTAAAATTCTCTCTAGTATTCCTCCTCAACACCGATGTAAGTTAGAAGAGTAGAGGAGCTCTAGCAAGGGGTAATCACGGCGTAGCGCCAAAGCAAGGAAGGTGCAGACTTCCCATCTGAACGCGGCCGGACAGAGCGCGGGCGCGGCGGCCAATCTGCTGCTCAGCGCAGCGGGGGCGGCGCGCGGGGGCGGTGCCGCATGTCCGCGATCGCACCACGGCCGCCGCCACCGAGAGGCCGGTGCCGGGGGCGGGTCGGGGGTGGGTCGGGGGCGGCGCGCGGGACGGGGCATTTCATCGCTCAGATTGCGCTCACCTCGCGGGCTTTGGTGCTCCTGTTAATTCCCGTAAACGCTGCCTCGAAAGGTCATATATAGGCCGAAGCCGGCAGCCCTCTGCCGAGGGTGGCTCTTCGCAGTGTCCCCGACCCCCGGCGCCCCGCCCCCCCCCCGCACGCCCCGCGTCGGGGCGTTCTCACGCGCTTCCCGGTACATAAAATCAAAGTCTTCATTTACCAGGTTTACTATATTTCCGAAGAGAAGTACGGGCGCGGCTCGGGCGGGGGGGGGGCGGGGAGTGGGGGTGGTGGAGATTGGGCGCCGGAGGGGGCGTCGAGACGGAGAAGCAGCCGAGGGCGGGGGAGGGAGCGGAGGAGGAGGAGGACGAAAAAAATAATCTCGAGGGTGCTTTTAAAATCTAGCGGAGCAGACGGATCCTTTGGACGCGCAGCGCGCTGCTACTTCCTACGCCAGCCGGCGAGGCGGCGGCGGCAACGGCCGGGTCAGACGCGACCGGGGCGATGCACATTGGGGCGAGATATCAAAACGCTGGCCAAAATGCGGAAACGTCATCCAAATTTAATGAAAATTTGTTTACAAGGCACGCTATATGTACTTGGCACGCTATTTATGATTCCAACGTCAAAATTGCAAATAAATAATGAATAAATAACAAAATGGGGGCGCTATATATCCAATTATATATTTTAAAAAGTCTGAAAATGTCTCAATTTTCATACAAACTTGTAAATAGGGTTGTATTGTTCGCTGATTTCGACTCTAATGTTAACATTGCTAAATAAATGGCGGAATCCAAAATGACGAATTAATAATCGAATAACACCAAAAAGGTTTCTGCACTAAGTGCAGAGAAGCAGCTAGTTGCCTTTTTTTGACATTTCAATAGCTAAATAATAGAGAACGATTTTTTTTCTAATTGCATTATGAAATTTTGTGGAACTAGTAACTGTTTTCCGCTTACAGAAACAAATTAATTGCATCATTTTGCATAAACATTAATATTGTAATTTTAAGATGTTTTTAAAGTATTTGTAATACATGTAAACTTTGTACTCTTCATCACGACTTTCTTCCATTTTGTATGATGACAATTGCTCACAAGTGAAAATCGTCGCTCGCTCAACGGCCACATTTCCAATGATGCAGAATGTTCTTGTGTCGCCTAGGACGTATTCCAACCGTGGAATTAGACAATCTGGGAACCAGTCTAACCAACCGCTTGCTTAAAATTCACTAAATAAACCTCCTTTTTTCGCTTTTTGTCCAGTATTTTGAGACGTCGCCCCAACGTGGGATTGAGGTGGTGGGGTTGGAGTTTCCCCCAGTCGTCGGAAGCGGCCGTGCTGGGGCAACTAGGCGATGGCGGCTGCGGAGGAAGATGGAAGCGTGCGCGGGGGCGAGACGCGCGCCTATTGATGGAAGCTGCGCGGAAGTAGCCGGGAAACACACCGCCTTCCCGCCGCGCCCGCCGCGCCCGCCCCGTTCTTATTACGGAGATATGTTTCTGTGGAGGCGCTGCGGCGGCGCGGTGGAGGGGAAGCCGGGAGTGGAGCACGTGGATGTGGATTCAGCCGGGGGCGGCGTTTGAGGTGGAGGCGCCAGCATTACCAAGATTGGTTTTGAATTGCACGTATCCTCCACTGCGATGAGAACCGACTGTATGTTTAAAACATTCGCGATTTCACGTGGTGATTCGGGATTTGAAAGTTACGATTTGTCTGATAGAAAGTGAAAATGTATTGCGAGTTTTTTGGTTGTAAGTATCGTTTGTATACTGTTAGAATAAAGCCCGAATTGGTTTTTGACTGCCTTTGAACCCATCACTCATATTTCAAGTTGCTTTTTTACGTAAAAGTAACTTAGTATAGACAGGTATTATGAATTCTAAATGTCATATTCAGATTTAAAATGTTGGTAAAATGACCAAACTACATTGTAAACCGTATGTAGAAGTTACTGTAACCTTAGGGTACAATTAATTATTGAAATAAAGTAGCGATATGAATTTTCCACTCCATTTCAAAATCATTTATATTTTTAAAATATTCCTCTAACATTCGGTGCACTTCAAAGCGAGTTGTTATGTCTTTTAAACGTACGTAGTAGACCATACATTGTAATAACTGGAAGTGCAAATGACAGCAAAACTTGGGGTTAAATACACACGTTCATATTACATCAATCACAATATCAATGGACATTTTCCCTTACTATAATATTATTAAGAAGCAAAATTTGAATTTCGTCAAGGAGGAATTTCATTTGCTTAATAATGTAATGATTACATACATGCTTTTTCAATTTCCTCAATTACAGCATTACAACGTTAGATACAATAGGTGAATACTTTATGTACACGTTTTATAAAGGTAATATTGGTTCCTAGATAGATAGATAGATTTATTAAAGTTCGCTTTGAGCTAATGCTCGGTGGCAAACATGATAACAA